GGTGGTTAGAAAAATATTGGTATTTGAGTTTTTTTAAAGTATTTTTTATTTAAAATAATATATTTTTTTAATTTAATTTTTTTTAATTTGTATTATGCTAATTCATTGTAATAAAATTTCTGGATAAACTTTAAAAACTAAATTTAAAATCTAATTAATTAGTTGAGATAATCAACTCAAAATATAACTATCTTTACCGGGCTAGGCGGATGTGTCAGTTTAATTGCAGATAATTTGAGGTCTGAAGAAGACAAGGGCCGTAAGTGTTAGATCGGAAATCAATACTTATTTAGACTTAAATTCACGTGGATGTGTTGGCCTCTGCCATTCCTAGGTTTATGGTTTTCCCGAGACCATTTCTGTACGGGCTCTAGGCCTGGGCGAGGAGCAAGAACTCCTCGGCCCATCAAATATTCATTAAATACTATCTAACACTTATTTAACGGTGGTTAGAAAAATATTGGTATTTGAGTTTTTTTAAAGTATTTTTTATTTAAAATAATATATTTTTTTAATTTAATTTTTTTTAATTTGTATTATGCTAATTCATTGTAATAAAATTTCTTATTTTTCCAATACTATTTCTATTTTTTATTTAGCAGATACAATTTTCAATTTTAATATTCAACCTAAAATAATATTTATCTAAAAGATATCAATTCATTCCATTCATTTAGGATAAATATTAATTGAATTTAATTTTAACTGTGATATATTTTTGTCGCATGTAATGTGACCCGCACGTATTTATAAAACCTTGGCATAACTCAGAGTATTTATTTTATTATTAACTCGTGTTAATTTAATATGTTACTTTTTTAATTTTTTAATAAAGCTATTAACAAATATGATACCTACAATGCTTGAATCTACAGAAGTTTAGAGAAATCCTAATTAATCTAAGAAGGAAAACCAGCTATTGATATGATGTGTAATTCCAAGGGAAGATCCAAGAGATAACATTCTCACCTAATAACTTAAATACTTGAAATGCCCTCGGCTTTCGATTTAAAATAATATATTTTTTTAATATATATTTTTTTAATTTTTATTATGCTAATTCATTGTAATAAAATTTCTTATTTTTTCCAATACTATTTCTATTTTTTATTTAGCAGATACAATTTTTAAGTTTTATATTCAACCCAAAATAATATCTATCTAAAAGATATCAATTCATTCCATTCATTTCGGATAAATATTAATTGAATTAAAGTTTAACTGTGATATATTTTTGTGGCATGTAATGTGACCCACACGTACTTATAAAACCTTGGCATAACTCAAAGTATTTATTTTATTATTAACTCGTATTAATTTAATATATTATTTTTTAATTTTTTTTAATAAAGTTATTAACAAATATGATACCTACAATGCTTGAATCTACAGAAGTTTAGAGAAATCCTAATTAATCTAAGAAGGAAAACCACTACTTAAATACTTGAAATGCCCTCGGCTTTCTCAAATGAAGCTATTGATATGAACCCCTTGGTGGAACCATAACTAAATCACTCTTTAAATTCAACAAATCTTCTACGCAAATCAACTGCCATTTTATACCTTTCATTGTTGTCTTGTATCCTTTTCCACACATCTGCATGCATCTCTTGAATGTGCTTAGCAAAGGAGTCGCCATCTTCACTAATAGGAGAAAATGGAGGCAAAGAAGGTCTATAGGCTGTCTTGGTTTCAACCAATTCATAACCTCAGTTGTTCTCCTAGTAAAGCAGTTAAAGGAGCTATTAAAATCAAATTCAGCTCGTCGTAGGATTCTGTCTCATGACGCTAGATGATCATAATTAGGCCTCGTAATAGAATTCCAAGGCTTCAATTAACAACTTCAGTTCATCTATTGATTTGAGGATGAAGAACTAAAGAGTGTTGGTTGAGCTGACAGACATTAGTTGTATATAGCTGTCAATTAGTTGGTTTTTTCCCTAACTTTTAGCTCCTAGGCTGTCGCCTATTCAGTTGTATAGTTGACTTGTCTAAATGAGTGATATGTATATTGTATAAAGACCCCTTAGTGATATGAAAAACAAATCATCCAACCTGATTCTATTTTTCAATTTGGTATCTTAGCTTTAGGCTAAGGGTCCTAACTCGATTTCTTGACGAGATTCTGTCTGCATCTTCATTTTATTATCCAGTAGCCATTGCTGACACTGTCTAGCCATTTTTTTCCCTTGCAAACGCTTCATTCAACCCTCGTCTTCGATGTCTAACGAGCAAGCAAGCAATTATGCCCAACAGCGACAAAGTCCCTGTAGAAATCAATTAGCATCCTTTTTCACACAGCAAGAAATTCACAACTTTTGCCAAAGGGTGAAAATTGTGCAGCTGTGAATGGGTTACAACTAGGTGAGAACAACTAGCTCCTTGCCGGTTTGCCCCTAACCTAGTCCAGTACCAGCTGGCAATCATCAATCATAATATATAACATATAATAATCAAAAGATCCAATACAAGAAACTAGTGAGCGCAAGTGAAAGGTAAATCAAATTCCATGGTATGTCCTCTCAAGCAGTGATTAAATCAGCTATTTCATTATTAGTTTAAATCAAAATATTCATACCGGTGCGTGACTTTCAGTTCTCACAAGTGCATGCTGGATGCACAGCTCAAAAACGTGAAAAAATAAAGGGAAACTAAATAAGAAAACATGCATACCTCAACTACATCAATGAAATCTAGTTTTCTGTGGAAAGCACCAACCCATTTATAGGGAGGGGAGGGGGAGAATTGTACCCAGAATCCATTTTCATATGATGAACGTTGAAGAAGAAAACAGTGGAAGGAACCAAAGTTATGTCAAAATAGTTGACGTAAACTTGAACATCCTCCGAATCAATGTCTGCCAAGGCTATTTGTTGCAAATTTTGAAACCTCACGAGCTGATTTCGATAACTGCAACTTGGAAACAATAGTTTAATTTTATTTTGCGGTTAAACTGGCTGGACAAATTATATTCAAGAATAAATAATTTTTCAGTTAATTATTTCTTTATGAAATCTTACATTTAAAATCATATTAGATGTCAATAATTAAATTCTAAATTAAATTAAATATCTACAATGATTTTATTACTACATAAGGGTGGAAATTGCCATGAAGAATTTAGCTTTGAAAAATACTCATCCATCCATATTAATTTTTTCTTATCACTCTCATCAAATGTAAACCACCATCAAAATAAAGATTTTTTTTTTCTGTAAGTTGTTGCAAAATCACCAAGATTCTTACAATTTGCTTGATATCTGAACAAAGCTTGCTGGCCTACCACAGGCCATACAATCATGAGGAAACAAAAGCATCAATATTCTAAAATTTTCTCAAGCCCACATTCAACTCCAATTCACAAAGAAAATTAAACTTCTTAGGAATTTCGATTTCAGGTTGGTTAAGGGCTTCCAAAAGGGCTGCAGATAATTGGCCGTCCATGGGGGGAAGCAACGATCTTGCGTTTAGATGCCGCAGTAGAGCTATACTTTCCTGAGAACTGCAAAGAAGGTGGCTATTTACGGTGCTTTGCATTCCTCGTGTGTTTTCAGGAACTATGCGCAAAATCCAAGAAGCAGCCTGCATCGTTTTTTGATGTTTTGAAGACAAAATAGGAAGCCGCATCGATTTCTGTCAGCTCATTCCAAGACCCCTCTTGTGGTTCCATTCATATTTGAGAAACACAGCCTGTTATTCTGTCGTGAAAAGCACCGATTCATTTTCCCAGCCTGATATTCTGTCTGTCTCCGGTGTCTCTCCGTTTACGAGGAGGACATTGTTGGAAAAGGAACGCGAATTGTAAATATTGATGACGCGAGCTGTGCGTACTTTATATGCCCGGTGATGACGACTCTTGCTAGTTTATTTTATTTATCTATTTAATCGTACTCTATATGCTCGGCGATGACGACTCTTACTTGCTAGTTTATTTTATTTATCTATTTAAATGTTTTTTTTTTTTTTGACGATGTTGAATTTGGATTGTAAATGTGTGAGAATGAGAAAACGGGAATTAAAGAAAATATATAGTTTAGTTCTTTACGTTGGAAAATCTCTAGCCTAATCTCACATTCTGGTTTTTTTTCCTTTTCAGCGGAGTTTGATGGAAAATCCAAGCTATTTTTAATAAGACAAGTGGTCAAGAAGAGTTAAAGGGCTAAATTGCAATCGAGTCCAGAATCCAGGGACTAACTAAAAAATAAATAACTCCAAATGGGGTGGGGGGGTAGAGCATTAAAACTGGGGGGTGGCGGTATGCAAATGGGGACAAGGCAGCATTCAAATGTCGCCCCTGCAACCATAATAAAGATCTGACACAGCGCTCATTCAATCCACGGCCTGGATTGTAGGTTGAATAGTGGATGAATCCAAGCCTAGATTTTTTTTGTCCCAAGTCCGTAACAATTGTTTCATCGACCCAACTCGAAATAAACGGCAAACCAGCTGGTTACCGGGTTGATTTGCCGGTCAGTCCAACTCCTATAAGGAGGTTATCGAACAATAGGAAAGCAACAGAAGTAACCCATTAAAAAAATACACGAAGCTTTGAAGCATTCAACTACTAGTCTTCTTTCTCTGTGACAAGACAAATTACTACTTCTATACTCTCTCTTTTCTTTCCTGCTCCTCCTCTCATAGAATTCCACGCCCAGATCAGAAACATCTTTGTGTTTGTCAATGTAGTCAATGATTGAGAAACCAAACACAGTTTGAGTATAGTCGACTTTGTTATATACAGAAAGCAGTTCAAGTTTTACACTTCAAAATATCTCTTGATTTCTCTATTCGATTGATCATCAATAGAGTGGTCCTGTTTTGTTTTTGTTTTCCATAAAGAATGGGAAAGAAACGTGTAATGGTGCCGGCTGAGGACGTCGACTTGTCCGCTGTCAAGTACCAGCATGAAGCAATCCAAGGTTTTCTTTGCATTTTCCTCGTGAATTTTATTTATTTGTGTATATCATGAATTTGTTTGTTTGTTTTTTTTCAAAAAAAAAAATTACAGCTCCGCATTTGACTGGATTGAAATTTAAGCTGTTTGTAAAGTTACTTGAGACTCCGCTTGTTGGTCCTTTGATTATATCACATTTGAAGAAGGAGAACAAGATAGTTGAGGTCTGCTTCTCATTTTTTTTCAAAGTATTATGTTAATTTTTGCGTCATGAAGGAGACAGTTGATTAAAAGTGCTTTAAATGTTTCCTTGTTTGTTAATGCCAGTTGCTGCAAAATACTGTGATCCCGGAAGCGCCTATGTATAAACCTGAATATCCTCCACAAGGTTTCTTTTCACTATGCTTAATGATTTGTTAGTCTCTACTTGTGACACTGATGCTGTTAGTATGAATGTGCTTACAGAACCAGAACCTGGCGTTGTCGTTGTGGATGAAGATGGAAAACCAGAAGACCGGGTAGAGTTAGCTATGAACTGCCTTCCTCCTTATAATTCTGCCAGCTGCTGGAATGAGGACTTGGCTTCACCGTTTAGGTATTGGAAGATACGCGATTATGCACATGCTTATCGGTCACAGTTTGTCACTCCATCTATGGTAAGTGGCTAAAGGTTCAGTTTCGTTCATTGTTTTTTTCTTTAACAGATTTCAGAGGATCTCACATTTATCTTGCAGGTTGCTGAGAAGATCATCTCAGTTATAGAAGAATTCAACAAAAAGGATCCCCCAATGCCATTATTGATTTCTTTTGATGCTGAAGAAGTCAGGAAACAGGCTGCAGCTTCTACAAAGAGATTTGAGGAAGGTATTGCTAAATTACATTTGATAATATATACTGGCTTCCAGATACACCGTTGTAGACTTTTGGATTTACAGATAAGCTGTGGTAAAACCTAAACTGCAATTAATCATCTTATGTGCTTTGTGGGTTGCTTGACTGTGTAGGAAGTTCAATATCCATCCTGGATGGCATTTTCATCGCAATCAAGGATGATATAGATTTGTATCCGCATCCATCCAAGGGTACATAATGGCACCTCTTTTCCTGATTTCTCGACATATTTTGTAAAGATTCTTAAAATTCTAGGTAAAACTTGATCCTTGATGACAGGTGGTACAACATGGATGCATGAGGTCCGTCCTGTGGAAGAGGACGCGGTTAGTGTTTCTAGACTGCGTAGCTGTGGGGTGATATTTGTACTTTTCACTATGCTTAATGATTTGTTAGTCTCTACTTGTTTTTTCACTATACTGATGCTTAATGATTTGTTAGTCTCTACTTGTGACACTGATGCTGTTAGTATGAATGTGCTTACAGAACCAGAACCTGGCGTTGTCGTTGTGGATGAAGATGGAAAACCAGAAGACCGGGTAGAGTTAGCTATGAACTGCCTTCCTCCTTATAATTCTGCCAGCTGCTGGAATGAGGACTTGGCTTCACCGTTTAGGTATTGGAAGATACGCGATTATGCACATGCTTATCGGTCACAGTTTGTCACTCCATCTATGGTAAGTGGCTAAAGGTTCAGTTTCGTTCATTGTTTTTTTCTTTAACAGATTTCAGAGGATCTCACATTTATCTTGCAGGTTGCTGAGAAGATCATCTCAGTTATAGAAGAATTCAACAAAAAGGATCCCCCAATGCCATTATTGATTTCTTTTGATGCTGAAGAAGTCAGGAAACAGGCTGCAGCTTCTACAAAGAGATTTGAGGAAGGTATTGCTAAATTACATTTGATAATATATACTGGCTTCCAGATACACCGTTGTAGACTTTTGGATTTACAGATAAGCTGTGGTAAAACCTAAACTGCAATTAATCATCTTATGTGCTTTGTGGGTTGCTTGACTGTGTAGGAAGTTCAATATCCATCCTGGATGGCATTTTCATCGCAATCAAGGATGATATAGATTTGTATCCGCATCCATCCAAGGGTACATAATGGCACCTCTTTTCCTGATTTCTCGACATATTTTGTAAAGATTCTTAAAAGTCTAGGTAAAACTTGATCTTTGATGACAGGTGGGACAACATGGATGCATGAGGTCCGCCCTGTGGAAGAGGATGCGGTTAGTGTTTCCAGACTGCGTAGCTGTGGGGTGATATTTGTAGGAAAGGCAAATATGCATGAGTTTGGCATGGGTACTACTGGGAACAATCCAAATTATGGGTCAGTTCATTAAACTTCCTAATTGATGTTATTCATTATTGCATGATTAACTAAATTCTTTTAGTTTTTAGTTCTTAATTACAATCTTATGGTGCAGAACAACAAGAAACCCTCATGCAGTGGATAGGTACACAGGCGGATCTTCCTCAGGCCCAGCAGCAATTGTAGCCTCTGGTCTATGCTCTGCTGCCTTGGGAACTGATGGTGGAGGTTGTGCAGATATTTTTGTTGGTCTAGCTTGTAATTGGTTTTAACAATATACTAATTGTGTACGTTTGATTTAATGAAAGAAATGCAGGTTCAATCCGCATTCCCTCTTCTCTCTGTGGTGTAGTGGGTTTGAAAACAACATATGGTCGGACAAACATCAAAGGGTAAGCTT